CACATATACAGTATATTAGTACTGATGGTTTCAAGTCTGTGTGGCAAAAAAACAAAAAAAAACAAACAAGAAGCMACACAAGACAAACAGAAGACTATCAGATTCCAGTCCCACTCCCGACTTACAGAGAAACAGTTTTGTTTTCATACGAATGTACAAATTTGCTACCTCTTTAAATACATATAATAGTTTTACAAGCACATCTTTTGCAATATTTTACACATTTTAACATTTACATGGAGTGAAAGTGTAAGCCAGGTGTAAAAATAAAACAAAACAAAAAGTGCATCACCTGCTAACTTTTTAGTTGTTGCTTGCTCTTTTAAATAAGAAGCAAAAAGCCATTGTGAGCACAAACCTACAGAGTTGGTGAGGCGATGTGGGGAGATTTTTTTTCTTTTGTGTTCCCACACAATAGTATTGCATTACCTCGCAATATCTTTGCGTTACCTCGCAATACTTTTGTGTTACCTCGCAAAATTGTTTTGCGTTCCCACGCAAAYGATTGTTTTGTATATGAACTGAATTAAATCAGACTTTTATTTTGAAGTATCAGTTAATAAAACAGGATGTGTCGCCACAAGTTTGTGAAATTGACATTGATGTTGTGTGGCTGCACTGTGTTAAAATATCGGCATATGACATACTTCCATGCGTGGCTGTGTGATATATTCATTCTGAAGCYGAATTAAAACAGTAGGCTAACTCGAACTTGTGAGTTTGTTAATAAACTGGCAGGCACAACAGTGATAAACTACTTTTGCGAGGTAACGCAATACTATTTGTGTGAGAACACAAAAGAAAAAAAAATCTCCCGTGTCCCCTCGCAGGCTCTGTACAAATCAATGCTGCATTAAAAACTACATTTTTAATTTCCATCTTGTAATTGTACACAAACTACTCTAAAAAAAATAAGAACACTGTAAACAAATTTGGCRTAAACACTGTTTAGTCTTTATCTGCACAACTAAGAGTTTGGCGTGAGTGGACGAGCATGCACACTGACCGTTTCAGTGCAGATTTGGTACTTTTTACAGCTGCTACGTTCAAAATGACCACGTGCGTTTTGTACTCAACAAGGAAGCAGTGGAGGCATTTGTTCTTCAGTTCCTAAAAAGAAACAAGTGATAATACAGATTTTATAGAACATCCAAGAAGCAGCGTGCAGCCGAAGTACCTCACACGCCAGACAGAACGAGCAACGAGGGAGGTGAGTGGAGGAGAGCGCGACACTAACGAGATGAAAACCGCCTGAGACACGCTGCTTTTTTTTTTTTTCTTTCTTTTTTTCTGTCAAGTAAAGCAAAGAACAGTAAGTGCTAAACATGCTTTCTGTTGCTGCAGGGGGAAATTATTTTATAACATCCTATACAGGATTTTATTTCTGGGCATTTGTCTGTCAACTACACCCTATTCACAGAAAATAAACACCTCTATCAAAATCAGTTTCCCTTTAGACTTTAGTCTGTAACATTCATGCTTTTAAGTTGACAATAAAAAGGTAAAACCTTTAAAAAAATCCCTCAAACAGATTCTCGTCCTCATGTCAAAATTTTACAAAGCAGAGAGATTGAGCTAAAATGGGACAAAKTACAAATTAAAGCAACTGTACAACTTGTTAAAGTGTAAAAACATTAGGAAATACATTTAGACACGTGAGCTTTGAGCACAAATGGAGGTAAACGGTGGTCTGTTTGTCACTCGATCCTTGCTTTGTTTTTTTTTATTCTTAATCGTCCGTCTCCTGCGACATGATTCCATCACCCAGTCTTGTTCGGGTTTTGTTCCAAAGATTGTGAATAAAGTATCTAAAACTTTTCTTCTCTGATTTGTGTGATAGGTTCAGAAAAGGAGAGCGGTCACATGACCCAGAGGTCCGTTGGTGGGCGGGGGAGCTGGAGAATGTGCTCTGACGTGTGAGGACAAGCTGCTAGTTTAGTCCAAAGTCTTACCAACACGACTCGACCCCGAGCGAGCGGGACTTTACACCGCTGACACTTGTTCATCTGGAGGACAACAAACAAAAATAGAGAATTAGTTTGATGGGTTAAGAAGACTTGAGTTGTAAAAAACAACTATTTTCATTTAGCAAGAAAATCACAGAACCTTAAAATCAGGACTTTCTAGCAGTGTAGAAGAATAATTGTGTGAATGTTTTAAACATTCACACGGCTGAGATGATCCACTTAAGTACATTTCTCTTTCCACAATTTTTGTGCTGTTTGAACAATTTTTACATTAAAACGTTCAGCTCCTTAAGGAAATTTCAGCTATGATTTTTGGTACTTGAGCAATTTGTATTTTGAGATATTTAGCTTTTTCACATGTTTTTCTCATTAAAAATAAATGCAGCTCTCTTTAACATYCTTTAAATCCCATACTGTACTTTACCTTTACGGTTCTGCTTTGTTCAACTTCTTATTGCTGATTTTAGCTTTCTTTAGCTTCTTTTGTTGCTACTTTTAGCTTTTCTCTGCATTTTCCACTCCTCTGTTAGTCTCAACTTCGTGCTTCTTTCAGCTGCTTTCTGCAGTTTTCAGCCAATTTTTGCTTTTATTCAGCTAAATTAACTTGCTTGTGATCATTTGGGCTTCTTATTGAGCAAACATGCTTTCTGTTCCTTTGTGCTAATTGCAGCTTTTTCAGCTACTTTTTAGCTGTTGAATTTCTGCCGCTTTAGCTATTTTATAACAAACAAACTTTTTGAATTTGTTTTTTTGTTGTCCTACTTTCAGCAAGTCGGCTGTTCAAAATGAACTTGCATCAACAGTTTTGCTATTAAACCTTTTCAGTTTGAGTTTAGCTTCTTCAGCAGCTTTTAGCACAAATCTTTCAGCATGAAGCATTCACACTGCAGTTCCTAATGGAATAACTAAAACTAATGAAAGGGTTACCTACCCACTGGAAAAAGAAAAGAAATCTGTTTAKGTCAGRGGGTCCAGTCCTGGTCCTGGAGCGCTACTCTCTCGCATATTTCACTTGTTTCCTCTCTTAATCATACATTCATTCAAATCAGGTRTGTTGAAGCTGAGAAACKTTTAAAACATGCAGGATAGTGACCCACGAGGACCAGGACTGGGCACTCCTGGTTTAGGTTACAGTGCCTTTACTAATTTAACAAAATGTTACAAGTACCGTCATCACTATCAGCTAGATCCTTTGGGGGACAGCTGTTGCTGGGTGGTCTGGAGTGACCGGGTGTGGAACTGGCCGTTYGGCCATCTTGGTGCTGGAGGTGAAGCCTCCGCACCTCGGCCAACCCACCAGCCGCTCCGGGGCTCTGCAGCAGTTTGCTCCTCCGCAGGGCCACGCTGTAGTCCGGAGGTCTGATGTGAGGAGGTCGGGGGACAGGACCTGCCAACCCACCCACTACTCCGTCTGTGAGCCCGAGATCCCCCAGAGCCAGACCATGGTAGCCTGGAGGGGTGGGAGGAGGAGCTCGGTAACGCTCATCCTTGGTGGGGGAGGTGACACAGTACACTGGGAGGATGTGTGGAGGAAAATAAAGGAGGGATGGAGCAAAGAAAGAGGGGGTGCAGGATGATAAATGATTGACAGGTGGGGTGTATAAAGAAAAGAAAAAAGGGGGAAAAAATAATGCAAAAATTAAATTAACGTGATGTTTCACTGAAACGACACAACACTATACATGCACCAAACATGGTGGGAAAATTAAAAGAACAAAATTACAACCAATGAGATGGATGGCTGTAGTTCATACAAACACAGTCTGAGCAGGAACAAATTACCTTTGCCATTATTAACTGAYGTTTTTTTTATCGATTAGCAGATAAATTAATTAACTGTAAGTAAAACATCGGGAAATAGTGACAAACTCCTAGAAATGTAACTATCCATCAACCAAAATGATAAAAAAGAAKTTGGATAAACAGCAACTAAAATGTGTCAGATTTAAGTGTTGGTAAATTATCTAAACGTACAAACATTTTGTTATTAAYTGATGACTAATAATAGTGAAGGGTCTTACTGAATGAGATCTGAGGATTTGTCAGCCGTTCTCTCATCCTAACATAAAAACTATCCAAAGTACATCCACCCAAAACTATTCTTGTTTTGACTGCTTAAAAAAATAACAAACCATCAAAGACATGGATTTAAGGTGATGTTTTGCTGCATAAATAAAACTCTTTCATTAGACTATCACATGCAGCAACAGAGCTGATCYGGACAGCTGCTACGCTGTGTTTATAGGAAATCAAACCCGTTTGCAACCTGCCCCCTCACCTATCAGGCCCTTGTCTGTGCTTGATGTCACCGTTTTGTAGGCGGGGTCTGTGCTTTGCCCTCCTTCCTCATTGGCTGGCGAGGAGGGATGCTCCGAGGTGTTTCGCCGTTTTATCGTTCCGTAATTCCCCTCATAGTTGTCCGACAGGGAGTTGGACGACGTCCAGCTYTGCCGGAACTGTTCGGCCAGATCCGAGCTGGAGTCTCTGGTGGGGTGCTCCGCRGCCCACGTGGGTCCGGCGGCCTCCACCTCTGCTATTGGCCGAGTCAGCTGCGTGTGCTTAAATCCGCCCAGGTGCGTGTGCGGTAGAGAGAGCGGGGGACCGTGGATGCCGTGGTCCCATGGTCGGCAGGAGGAGGCGGGGAGGCTCTGGAAGGAGTCGTGGGAGTTGGAGGAGCAGGACGTCCAGCTGCCGCGGCCGCTGTCGGCCACAGAGTCCATGGAGGTGTGGTCTGGGGTCAGCTCTTCCGTGGAGAGAGAGGCGCTGAAGGCCCGGACTGCGTATCCTCGACCCAGTGCTGAAGAACTATTTGTAAACAAAGAAAAAATAATAATAAAAGCATTAAAATTACAGCATCAACAAATTACAACCAATAAGAAGAGGATAAAGTTTGATGTTGTAGAAACGACTAAATAAAATCTGACAGCATGATCTGAGCAATTAATAACTTTCTAAAGGAACTTAGAGAAAAAAGTTTCTTCCCAGCTGCACTTTATAAACCAGCACAGTTGACACTGACACAGTTTTACAGGACAAACAAGCCACTCAATGAAATAAGCCAGCTACAGCAGGGTTGCCAAGGTGATACAATATCTGAGAGGGAAATATTTTATTCTTCCCTTTATGAGACAAAGTGGCCTAAACTAAGAAGAATAAACTAAACTGTAGACAATAAAAAAATTGGATTGTTMACTCAGCCAGATTAAAAAGCCGCCCGCGTGAAAGCCGAAACCTTTCGCATGAATAAAACGAGAAGCAAGGAGGGCTGTAAATGTGGGATGCTAATAAAAAGCTGTTATTTTTTTATGGCATCCAGTTCTTGGAGGTTTAACGAGGAAGGTATGTAATTGGGAAGCAATGGGGGGAGGAAATGGAGGAGTGGTAGCAGATGGTGCTCAGGAGGTTGGTTTGTGACCAAAGTCTGTGGTGGACAGAGACATAAATCAGCATGCATTGCTGTTTGAATCTGTGGTTCCTAATTTGTTTGGATTCCGAAAAAAATTTAAAATAAAAAACTTGTGGCAAAAGGAGAAGTAAACCGGGATTAAAGTGCCTGTGACATCAAATTTTGTAATACRTATGAATGCATTTTTAGAAATAGGACATTGATAAAATATTGCAAAAGAAATACTGTATCATGTCGCTAAGATGAACAGTTGTTGAGATATTTGCCTGTGAAGTAACAGGAAGTGATGTCAAAGGGGAATGTCTGCATTTGAACAGAGCATTGCTACAACAGACAACAACCCAGACTGTAGAGAACAATCTGATGTTTCTTAAGATTATTTTGAGTCAAAGAGAGATGAAGAAGAGTCAGTTCAAATAATATTGTTTCAATAAACAAAGACCAGAGAGTTTTCTTTGTTAAAGAGTTCCCCTTTGATGTCACTTCCTGTTTCACTTTGGCTGAGTCAGGTTTTAAATTGTGTGCATTATTCCACCTTTTGTTTCTATGTCYTAATATAAAGTGTAGAGCCGAACCAAAGCTAAAATGTGCCATCCATCCCTTTAAAAAMCAAATTCTGTTCATCTCATTATGACTTTCAATTTACAAGGACTCTTTTCGACCTGAACTAATTAAGCAGACAGATTAGATAAAATGAAGTGAACCAAAGCTAATTACCTTGTGCTGGGCTGGCTGTAATCAGCAGTTAAATGTGCATTTAATGCCGCTGTGCCCTCAGCAACCTCGGCAGCCGTCGCAGCCGTGGGGTTGGAAGCAAAAGCAGCAGCAGTACTAGCAGCGGTACAGGTCCTGTTACATCGGTCGTCAGGCCCGGGAGCGGGCACCGAGTCAACTGAACAGATACTGGAGCGGGAGGAGATCTCGCTGTGACTCGAGTCCGACAGGTTGTCCATTTTACTACCAGGGAGGAGGGAACAACCTGAGGAGAAAAAAGCATTGAACATTTTAAGCAGCTGAAAATGGAGAAGGAAATGAAAAATGCAATAAATAAATAAATAATAATAAATAGACTGTCTAAACCAGGCATGGTCAATCCTGGTCCTGGAGGTCCGTAGCCCTGCATGTTTTACTTGTTTCTCTGCTCCAGCTCAACTGCTATGAATGAATAGATGATTATCAGACTTCTGCATTACGGAGGACCAAAAGTGACATAATTAAAAATAAAAGCAGAATTATATGAACCACTAAATAAATACACTCAAAGTGCACCAATTAAATAAATACACTTAAAGTGCACCAATTAAATTAAAAAGGGAGAACTTTATCTCCTGTTTTATATTTTAGTTGACTTTCATATGTATTTTTCCAGGTTAGTTCCAACAAATTAGTCTATATATTTGAACACATAGTAATTAAAATTTTATTGTTTTTTTTAAATATATATTAATTGTTTTTCCCTTTACTTCCACATGCATTTGTGCGTCTTAAATGTTTATCCTTAATTATTTTTATATTTTTTTCCAACAAGTCTTTTTATTTCTATGTGTTGCATGCTTGTGCTGTTGCAGTTTAGCTTAAAGTTTAAAGTTTAGTTTAAAACAAAGGCAAGGAGGAAAACATTACATGTACATTTATTTTTAACTCAACTTGAAGCTAAACTACAGCAACACAAGCAAAATAATAAAAAGACTTGTTGGACAAAATTATAAAAATAATTCAATTTAAGCATTCAAGAGACACAAATTCATGTTCAAGTAAAAGGAAAAACTAACATTAAAGTTTAAATTATGTATCCAAATATTTAATTTATTGGAACTAAGCAKGAAAAATAAATATGAAGGTCAATGAAATTATAAAACATGAGGTAAAGTTCTCCTTTTCAATTTATTTTGTGCATTTTAAATGTATTTATTTATTTTCATTTATTTATTTATGCTTTTATTTCTAATTATGTCAGTTTTGGTCCTCCATACTCCAGAACTTGGAAGAGGTGTTGGAGCAGGGAAACATGTAAAACATGTAGGGCTGCGGCCCTCGAGGACCACGATTGCCCAYCCCTGGTCTAAACTGTACTGCAATGACTGGGAATCAAGACTTTCAGAAAAACTCCAAACTTTATAAAAAAAATTACAAGGCTGAAACACAGGACCTCACAAGAATTAACTGTCAATTACAAATGGTTATGAATATTATATATATACATATATAAACTGCATTTTCAATTTGAATTAATTAAACAAAAACTTTTTCAGTGAACAGAACTTCTGCTTTGACACATTTTTCCTCCACTTACAAAAAAAGAAACAACATGCATGTACAAGCTAGTGATGAAGTAACACAAAGGTCAGCATGAAATGATTATCCATCTGTGATTGCTGCCTCAATTTCTTCTTCAGTCAATGCCGAGCTCTCAGGCGTCACCTTCCTGTGACTCACAGTAGATCTGAGGCTCTTGAGCATTGTGCAACATTTACTTTCGTGCCTCTGAAGCTAAATTTCATCTCTTAATAAACAGTAAACATGTTGGGACATCTCTACAGAAGCTGATTTGTAACTCAGCCTCAGTCTAAATGAGTCAGACGGTCTTTGTCCTGGTGTGTCTGTCTCTGCACAGCCAGAGGAAAGGGTTGGGGCTGAGGGATCTCCTGGCTCTCTGCTCTGTCTCTTGTGTCTCATTCTGAGGTGAGGATGGTTCAGTCTGTACAGTTTGCTCTCCATTTTTTATTAATGATCTCTCTCTGGACTGACTCTTTTCCCTCAGGACCCTGAAAGGTGACATCAGCCTCACCCTGATGGGTGACACTGATGGCTTTAGCTTCATGAAATGGGACTGGGGAGGAGGCGACAGAGTCACAAGTCCTGCCTCTGGAAGACAGCGTGGAGATCTATGAGCCTCTGAACATTTCTTCTGTAATATCTGTTCTGCATCTGTCTGAGCACCCCGTTTGCTCTGCTGTCTGGATCTTCCTCTCCTCTGCTCTGACGAACACAAGCCTCTCTGAGCTGCCTCTGTCTCCTCCTGCATCAGCTCCTCAGTTATCTCCTCCAGCTCTGTCTCTCTTTCCCTGCTGCTTCCTCGGCTGTGCTGACTGGTCATCAGCATGATCCTCTTGTGGAGAAGGGCCCCACCTATGCCGTAGCTGCGCAGGCTGACACCAGTCTTTGTGCTGGCGTCGCTGGTCAGAGAGGATGAAGAACCTGACAGGTTCATCTGACTGGAGTTCTGGGACTTGGTCACGCCTCCCACTAAAACAAAGAATTAAGGTTAAAAGAGGAGATAAAACAGTAGGAGTCTGCAATGAAGTGTTTAGAAGTTAGGCAAAACATTGTAAATAACTCCCAAAAAACACAACATTAAGTGGTGCTTATTAATGGAAGCAGACCTTTGCGAGGAGAGCCCTGAGGGGACACCGTGGGGCTGGAGTGGAGGGATGACACGGTYGAAATGGTGTCATCAGATGGTCTCTTGGAGCTCCACTCATCTGAGGAGCTTACTGGAGGTTTCTTTACCACCTGGGGAGAATTTGAATCTGACAAAAAGAAGAAAATAAAAACTTATTCTGGGCATTTACTTCTCTTATTCTACAAAAATAAATAAATAAATAAAAAATAAATGGTTAAAAAGTAATCGGGATCTTTGGAAGAATTAGTGTAATGATGATAAAGTTTAGTTGAGSAGGGCTCACTAGGTGTGCCGGTGTCCTTGGCGGTGCTCTTCTTTCGTAGAGGGTTCAGTGGCACCTGGACTTGGAGGACTTGGGACACCCTGTTCTGAGCTTTCCCCAGGGGCAGGGTCGACCGCTGAGACACTGGAGACATGTCCGACTTATTGGATCTCCTCTCACTCAGGTTTTTGCTCACTGGAGAAAAAAAAATTTGAATGACAGATTAGGAGAAAATCTGTGCGATTTTCTTCACGAGTTACTTTTACAGCAGCTGRTTTTGCTTCCCTTGTAAATTGTCTGCAGAATGTTTGCAAAGACACTAGATGGCAGTGCTAATATGATGAATTTGGGAGGTAAAATACTAGTTTTATTTCATTTAAATTCTCATTAGCAAACCACTATTTAATCTCCAACAATCACTGTTCAGAACTGCTTTGAATGATGTCGAACATGTTTTACTGAAAGGTTATTATATAACTCACGTGTGATACAATCTAAAATAGGTGGCACTCTTAAATTAGGTTTTACTCACAGGTGTTGTAAGACGGCTCACACTGCAAGGACATAATTTGGTGTTTCTCCTCGTCTGTCTCCACAGACAGGTTGGAAAGGTACTGCTTCACCTTTCTGGCCATCTGAGCGTCTTCGTACAGCTTCTTAGCGTTCAGGAGTGAGCTGCGTCGTACTCGCTTCTTGTGGGCTCCGCCCTGCACGTCCAGGATGTTGGAGTTGGTGCTGCCTTGACTTAATGACCTGATAGATGAGAAAAAGAATGCAGAGGAAATGGAGAGGAAGAAATGAAGGAAAAGTAGATGATGAGGTGCAGAGAATGGATAAAGTATGGGAAGAGGACAAATGCATGTAAAAATGCAGAAATAGAAAACAAACAGGTAGATTGAGGGAGAGAAGGAACAAACATTAATCAGTAAGACTACAATTAAAGCAGAAAGGTCTACATTTTTGTAACTCAAATACCATTTTCACAGCAAAATCGGTAAGTTTTTTGGTTTGGAGCACTGCATTTTAAATTGGGACCATGCAGCTGGGAGGGAGGCAGCGCTCCCTGATATGCCATGCTATCACGTTACAGAACAGCAGAACATTCTGTCAGATGGAGGCAAAAAGGGTTAGGAAAACAAAAGATGCCACCAAGGGGATGCAAATATGAGCCTGAACAATATTGAGTCAAATAGTATTTGGAATTACGAACCACAATTCATGTGTAAAAGCTGAGTCAGAATTTAGATCCATTGTCTTCCTGCTTACAGTTTCTTGTCTACACTGTTTTTTAAATCAAACTACTTTTGAATACTTTGTGCAATTTTAAAGGAGACATCTGATGCTTTTAAATCATTTAAATCATTCAGTTGGGGTCTAAAGTGGAACTGCAATGCTTTGGTCTGAATTCCTCCTTGTAGTAACTCCACAAGCCCCTCGTTCACCCCTTTTCTGAAGTGTGTCTCAGATCAACTCATTTTAAAGCTGTCTCTTTAAATCCAAACAAGATGCTTCACACCCCGCCTTCCTCCAGCTTCTAGAGTGGCCCACTGTACTTTGAGAGAGGGGRGGAAGCATGTTTTTGTTTAAATTAATAAAAAGATGTCAAGAAGTGAAGACTTGTCCATCCAGCCTTGTATGTTGGAACCAGAGTTTGACAAATTGTAGTTGGTAAGTAACCTTATTTACAAGTTCTGTTGCAAATACTGTGACGTAATAGTTCCGAAAACGTAATAGAAAACAGATAAAACTGAACGGGTTGAAAAATAAGACTCAGACGTAATATAAAAATATCTTTGCAGCAGGAGAAATTCAAATGTTCTGCTTGGTTTCTCCTAGAGACTCCAAGTACAACAAAATGCATTTAATGGCTGAAAAAAGGGAATTTTACATGATTTGTCCCCTTTAATTATTAACTTGATCATGAATACTTGGCTAATACTTATACTATTTATATATTTTATACTTATTTACCTTTATTAAAGTAAATATCATAAATATAGAAATACATTAAGATTTCTTTAATTCCTTCAAAAACATTATTCACTGAAATCAGCATAATTGCTCTGTTTTAATGTTCTTGTGCTTCTTTAAGATACAGTTTTGCTTATTTTGGCTTTTAGACTTTATTTTACTTATTTGAGCTTTCAGGTTTAAGTTTGTTAATTTTACCTTTCAGCTTCTGTTTTGGAACTTTTTAGCTTTTACCTATGGGTTAGAGCAGTGTTTCCCAAAGTTGGGGTCGGGACCCAAAGTGGGGTCCCGAAACATCAAGATGGGGTCCTGAAAAGATTTTCTGAATTAATTACATTTTTGCCTTAGTTGTTACAAAGGAGTGAGGTTAGTATATTTAAAATGGAGAAATGTAGTATAAAAATATTGTTACTGTGCCCATGTTTAGTTGACCTGATACAAACGTTTATCATCCAAAAATAGCTGGGGGCACAGGTCTCTGTTACTGTTATTTTGTTGGGTCAAAAGCTGAAAAGTTTTGGAACCAGTGCACTTTGGTTCCCAAAGTTGGGCTTGGGACCCAGTTATGGGTCATGAAGCACCTTGGATAATCTCCAGAAAACAATTTAAAGGGTAATAAAATAATTGCTGATTAAGTATTTATATTTGTGTACAAGCTGCTTAGATTGTCAAAAAGCCTGTGTTTTTAGGGTTATTAACGAAGTTCATGTACTCAGACCAGTAATATTTGGGGTCACAAGTTTTTGCCATGGATATTTTGTGGGTCAGAAGACAAAAAGTTTGGAAACCACTGGGTTAGAGGACAGAAGTAATCCATCTGACTGCTAAATATATTGGTTTGTAGTTTGTGTTTTACRTTTGCAATGTATTCCAGTTCTCTGTGATGATAATTATCAAATACATTGTGTTTATTCCATAATCTTATTATAAATAAGTATTATTTCAAGCTACTATATGACTCAAATATACAGTCTAGTGATGATACGGTTAATGGGTCAATGATGGACTTCAGTATGATTCAATAGGCACTGCAATGGAAGGGTTAATCACACGGAGCATGGGCAGACATGTTCAGAAATGGTAACAGAAAACATGCAGAGCTTATGGCTGTGGGGGGATGCAGGGTGGGTGGGATTTCAGTCGGACCGGACTGAAGCAGGGTGAAACTGGTAACCAGGACAAACTTACCCTAAACTCTTCCACCTCTTCTTCCTGCAAGCAAGAGGCGTGAAGATTGAAGCGTGACTTAAGGACAAGTTCAAAGATCAGGGAGGTGGAGGAGGAGACAAGACTGTGTGGGGTTCATGCCACCACAAACAAAGAGCAAATGACTGGAAATGGGAGGACACAGCATGTGGAGCTTTGGTTCACACTGAACTGAGGAGTGTGAGTGTTGTGTCACAGATTCACAACATCAGGTTGTTTTGTTTCATGAGACTTATGTGGGTTTCTCATTATGTACTGTAACTGGTCATTTTGAAGGGATTCATGTGACCTGCAGTAGGATTGGAGTGTCTGCAGGGGGCAGTCATGCACTACAGGAGTGACAGACTGTGATAGACACACACAGAACTGAGTGATACCAACAACACACTGCAGCTGTCATCAATTCCACCAACAGTTCCGTTCAGTCCATGCCTTGTATTATTGGCTGGTTATGTTCCAGCAAAGGAAAAGCAATCCAAACACGGAGAGGCACGGACAGAAAGGGAAACAAATGGGAATTGATTGGACTAGACTTTGAGTGTGTGCCTGATCCCACTGGTGAGGGATCCAGGTTGGCTGGTGGAGTTATGACAGGTGGTTCCCTTTTTGCCAACATTTATAGCCCTCACAGGTAACATGTGGATACACCCCTCCCAAAAAAAACTTTGACAAAACCTTGCCACACTGAGATATTTTGCTGCAAATCCAAATGTAAACAGGAAAAGCCAGTTTCAAAGACACATAAACTAACWGAAGTTACAGGTTTCAAACCACAATGCCACGATTTGGCTTACTGTTCATTGTTTTAGGCCTCAAATAGCCTCAACTGATATTTAATATTTTTTAAAAAGCTCTAAAAAACTAAAGAAATCAAAAGCTATTATTTGTATCATAAAAACCAACCTCTGTCTGAACATGAGGGCTGGGTCCATGTTGGCTGAGGTCATCCGGACCACGTGCCTGATCTCTTTAGCGATCATCCTAAGCTTCTCGAAGTTCACGAGGCCGTCGACATTGGAGTCGTTACCTGAGAGGAAYGAAGAGAATAACGTGCTCACACAAAGACAAATCCAACAGTGAGCTGTCAAGAGTGTTTAAATGGATATCACCTGGAGACACCTAAAATACACTGCTTCAATGTGAAACTTCTTTATTCTGGTGTTTTTCATGTCATCGCTTCAGGAAATCAGACTGTCATACCTTGTCACCTTGGGCAATCTGAGAATTTACTTCTTTTAGCTACTCGCAGAAGATGGAAGCTTTCTGTTTCATTATTAACAAGGCTGTTGTGACTGTTGACATACCAAACCTTTAAGGAGAAGTTTGTTTGGATATTTTTGACTTGACTTAGTTTGTTAATGTTAAAAGGCAACTCGGGGAAGCCATCAGCAGAAGTAAGTCCATGAGAAAGAATCTGAGTTTAATGTTTTTACACCACACAGAGGAAGTAGGTGACCTTAAACTAAACAGAAGGACTTAATCACAATAAATAGCCTCAGTTTGCAGCTTTCTTCTGCTTTAATTTAACCAAAAGGCAGCTGGCCCTCCAAAGCTCTCTTACCTTCATGTAGGAAGGTGAGGTCCTTCTTGACCACTGGGAACAGTGGGATGATGGGCGGCTGCATGCTCTGGCTGCTCAGCACGTTGCGGTACTTGGCCATGTTCCTGGATGGGTCGAAGACGTCCTGCAGGTCCCTGAAGAGCTTCTCGTACTTACTCGGCAGTTTCTCCCACGTGCTTCGCAGTCGAGCCACTGGTGCCAAGTTCAGCCCGCTGTTTGAGAGAGGAAGGAGGTGGAAGGAGGGCGTGGAAAAGGGGAGCACAGAGGCAGAGATAAATGAGTTATACAGGGGAGAGGAGGAAACATGATGGGGGCAGTCAGGGGGAAAAAGTTCTTTTTTTTGCTCCTGTCTTTTGTTATTTTGTAACTACTGTTGTTTTTTATGCAGATGTTTCTAAAACTGTAAGGTATTTTGTTAATTTTTTTTTACCACTAATAAATAATGTCTTTTTTGCTACTTTCCAGTCCTTTTTTGTTATCGATTCAACTGAATATTAGAAACACAAGGCAGCTTCAGTTGCATTCACTAAAAATCACTTTCATTACATGTTTCTAAGAACTGAGGGATTTTTCATTTGTGCATCAGAACATAATCTCCAGCAAAAATGAGATTGAAGCCTTATTGTTACGGAAAAAAGAAAATAAGAAATTCTTTTCACAGCTGGAGCTCTCGTCTCATTCATGCTCCAGCTGATTGAAGCCGAAGGAATAACTGGATTTTATTGTTGTGTTTACGAGCAGCAACTTCAAGCTAATTTTTACAAGCTACTGTGGTTATTATATTAAACACAAAGGTAAAATAACATGATGGGAATTCTCAACCAGTCAAATAAACTCTTACCTCTTCAGTTTGTTTAAAAAATTAATACAACCAAACAGGAAAGAAACCCTTTAAAGACTGCAGTTTTATGGAAAAGATGTGATCAAAATGCAGCTTTTGTGGGGCGGCCGTGGCGGAGTGGTTAGGGGAGTCGTCCTGGAACCAGAAGGTCACTGGTTCGATCCCCCGTCCAGCCGTCTCAATCGTTGTGTCCTTGGGCAAGACACTTCACCCACCTTGCCTACTGATGGTGGTCAGAGGGTCCGGTGGCGCCGATGCATGGCAGCCCCATCTCTGTCAGTGTGCCCCAGGGCAGCTGTGGCTACAGTGTGGTTTGCCATCATCAGTGTGTGAATGTGAGTGTGAATGGGTGAATGTCTGTTAGTGTAAAGCGCTTTGGGGTCCGGAGGGACTTGAAAAGCGCTCTATAAGTTCAGTACCATTTACCATTTGTTGGAAATAATAGTCAGTGAGGGTAAAAACAGTACGAACAAATGCTTTAAAACCTGTTATGGATTAACTAAATTTTTGTTCTTTTCAGACTGAGAGACGCTCCCAGTAAAAATCTACAAGCAACCCTGCGAGTCAGGTTTCTTATCCACACAGCAGCAGCAGCAGCTGTGCCTCCTGCCACCAAGCAGGTTGTGCATCAGAAAGCCATATGTGCTGCTGTGAGGAGTGTAAAGGGACATGGAGGTCAGACACTTCTGCTCTGAAGTACATTTTACAGCAGCGACCAAAMGACCATCAAACTGCTGAGCTCCTTGACCTGTAAGTAACACGTAGGCACTGAGCAACAGAACAAGAACAAAGCTTATTATCAGCCAAGCTGAATTCTATTTTCAGATAATCTGCATCGTGAACAAACCAATTTCTCATCTTACAAAACTGGTTTCATAGTTTTTCTTCTTCGCACTTTTAATGTTTGGCTTGAAAGTAAGAAAGGAATCCTTACGAAACWCTTTTACGGAAATATTAAAGTGATTAGAAACATGGTTAAAGCCCACACCTACCTGATAATGGCAAACATGGAGTTGAAGTTCTTGCACTCTCTGCAGTGCAGGGCTATCTTGATGAAGTGCTTAATGGTCTTCATCCTCTTCAAGGTGTTGGGCTCCTTTAAGATCTCTGTGGCCACCCAGAAAGTTTCCTGGTTTATCACCTCCTCAAACTGCTTCAGATTCCCACATCCAGCAGAGGAGTCCAGTTTAAACAAATCATCCACATACCTGAGAACCAGGACAGAAATGTTTAAAAACTTGTGCAAACCTGCAGAATTTCCTTAATTAAGCAAGTATCATTTGCTATTTTATTTTATTTATTCTCTTTGGAAGTCATTTAATGCCATCAGGCTCATAARAATAAAACTGTAAATTGCGTACTCTGTGGACTCAATATTCCTGAAGAGTTCGAAGTCTCTCATCGAGAGCTGGGCAGCAACCTCCATGGTGCTGAGCTGCAACAGAGAGATCTGACTCTCTCTGAGGAGGTCCTGGGCATCCTCATCCGAACATAAAGTCTCTGTCTCCATGTTGTTCTTCAGGTAGTATCTGAAGGGAAAGAAGAGTGAGATGAACTGCAGGTGAAATTAARCATTTATTTAACAAAATCTCTACCAGATGTGGAAACTGTAGTGCAGCGATTTGTTGTATTCTCACACTTCTAATTGCATTTCTCCAATTTWAAAAAAGCTTAATCCTGAAAGCTTTGAAATTTAGTACAAGGACGAGGCATAAATACTCTGATAATGGTAGAATATAGAAGGTGAAAAAGCAAGAGAGGAATTTGCAGCAATGGATGGAGAGAAGAGAACAGGTGTGTGATGGAAAAATACATTTCTCCTTGTGCTTTATCATCAAAAGTTTCCTGGTAAAGCATTCAGCATCAGGCCATCTCTAACACACTATAAGCTCCTTAGTTTATAAATCTAACCCTCATACTTTCCCTCTAATGGAGCTGTAATGTGTTTGTCTTCCAATGCAGACCCTCGGAGCATTATGAGTCTAAAGTGGGCGCTCCTCAGGAGTAAAGTGTTGGCATAAATGCAACTCTAAATTGCACAATAACACAAACAAAAGAGCTGGTAGGAAGAGCACCAACAAGCAATGATTTGATTAAGTGGAATTTACTTGCAATAAAACACGAGTCGTGAAAAAAGGTTTGAAAAAAACAAAAGCAGACTTGATAAAGTTTCCTTATAGTCAGGTTAAAGACATTTGAGGACCTCTGTAAGCATAAAGATGAAAGAATACAAGAGGAAAGAAGACAACAGGACAAAAAGAATTGTGTAAATTATTGACAAAGTGGTTTTAAACTGAACCGGGTCTGAACCAAACCACTGGAAATGACCAGTGGCATGAGCATCTGTGTGTTAKAAGGTTGGGATCATGTCCCTTCATTTATATGTATGTTGACAGCATGTACAATGTTTGCTATTGGCTAAGACTGCCCCTCCMAGACCTCCTGCCAATCATTTCACCAGAGGATGACAGATACAAAGTGGCAGCGACACAACTCTGCCAACTGCTTCTAATAAATGGGAAAYATTGCTGAATCTTGTTGACACTCATCCTGCTGACAATGCAGAGTGTGTGAGTGTACTGTATGTACAAATACTGTCAAACTACCAGTATTAACTATGAGCACTCTGAATGATGTAGTCTGTTTCTAATTCTGATCTAAAGGAAAGAAAAACAGACAATTCCTTTTGCCTTCAAAATAAAAAAAGAGCAATTCTTCAAATCAGTATGTGAATAACTGTGCATTGAACTTGATTATTAATCTCTTTGTAAGAGTTTGTGTGTGCGTGTGTATGAATAATTCCAGACATGTCGTGCTGTCTGCAGAAGCCCTCGCCCCTGACAGGGGATGAAAAATTCATGCTAGCCTACTTGGGAGGGGACAGACGAGGGACCCCATGAGACGGGGAGAGAGGGAGAAAACTGTGAGAAACTGATGGGGGAGTCACATTAAGGCAGACCTTGGTGTTGCACTCAAATTTTCTGCTRTGTCCTGTTAGCTTTTGTCTTAAAATATATCTAGCAACAAGACAAGGAACTTTGACTTTCAACAAACTGAGACAAATCTGAAAGAACAAAATATACTCAAGCAAAAAAAAAAGTGACCAGGACCATCAGTGATGTTAATGTTTGTTTCACTTTTGAATATTAAAAACTATGTCCATCTTTTTTATGTAGTAACAATAATCTATTATTTCTATGAACCGGCACAGACGTTCCCACTTTTGCTCTTTAGCAGCTGGAGACCTGCTGGTTTTCWTTCAAGCTGCGAGATACATTATCTGAATTCAGTAAATTACAAGAGTAATACCCTAAACCCTTAGGAAGAAGACTGAGAGGAACTCCTCCAGAAGAATTTAGTCCCTAACATTATACTGGACATGATCTGCTGTCTAACAGCTAATCTCAAGCAGACAGTGAGGGGTTTTGAGCAGTTGTGTAAAAGATTTGAGTAATGCTTCTGTTTTTTTAAAAAAAGTCTTCAAATCTTAAGTTTGATAAAGCACTCACTGTGTGAGTTTTCATAGTTTTAACCAGAAAATGGGATGGAAAAATCTTCAATGTTCAATCTTTTTTTAAGATCAAACCACTATGTAATCTGGCTTTGCTTTAAACGTTTAAGCCTTAAAAATAAAAGTGGTCAACTATAAATTTTTAAACCCAGATTTCCACATCAAACTACAGTGGTTTGCAAAAGTATTCATACCCCTTGAACTTTTCCATATTTTGTCACATTACAACCACAAACATAAATATATTTCACTGGAATTTAATGTGAAAGACCAACACAAAGTGGTATTCAATTGTGAAGTGGAAGCAAAATTTTACATGAATCAAAACATTTTTTACAAATAAAAAACTGAAAAGTGCGACGTGCAAAAGTATTCAGCCCCCTTTTCCCTGAGTGCAACCAATTGCATTCAGAAGTTGCCTGATGACTGCTAATGACTCAAAAGGGTCCACCTGTGTGTAATCTAATCTCAGTACAAATACAGCTGCTCCGTGACGGCCTCAGATGTTGGTTAAGAGAATATTGGGGAGCAAACAGCATCATGAAGTCCAAAGAACACACCAGACAGGTTAGGAATATGGTTTTGGAGAAGTTTAAAGCAGGCTTAGGTTATAAAAGATTTCCCAAGCTTTGAACATCTCACGGAGCACTGTTCAATCCATCATCCGGAAATGGAAAGAGTATGGCACCACAGTAAACCTGCCAAGACAAGGCCGTCCACCTAAACTTACAGGCCGAACAAGGAGATCACTGATCAGAGAGGCAGCCAAGAGGCCCATGGTGACTCTGGATGAAATGCAGAGAGCCACAGCTCAGGTGGGGGAAACTGTCCACAGGACAACAATTAGTCGTGCACTACACAAATGTGGTCTTTATGGAAGAGTGGCAAGGAGAAAGCCATTGTTAAAAGAAAACCATAAGAAGTCCCGTTTGCAGTTTGCCAGAAGCCATGTTGAGGACACAGCAAACATGTGGAAGAAGGTGCTTTGGTCAGACGAGACCAAAATTGAACTTTTTGGCCACAATGCAAAACGCTATGTGTGGCGGAGAAAGAACACTGCACATCACTCTGAAAACACCATCCCCACTGTCAAATATGGTGGTGGCAGCATCATGCTCTGGGGGTGCTTCTCTTCAGCAGGGACCGGGAAGTTGGTCAAAGTTGATGGGAAGATGGATGGAGCCAAATACAGGGCAATCTTGGAAGAAAACCTGTTGGAGTCAGCAAAAGATTTGAGACTGGGGCGGAGGTTCACCTTCCAGCAGGACAACGACCCTAAACATAAAGCCAAAGCTACAATGGAGTGGTTTAAAAAAAAGAATATTCATGTGTTAGAATGGCCCAGTCAAAGTCCAGACCTAAACCCAATTGAGAATTTGTGGCAAGATCTCAAAACTGCTGTTCACAAACGCTCTCCATCCAATCTGACTGAGCTTGAGCTGTTTTGCAAGGAGGAATGGGCAAGAATTGCAGTCACTAGATGTGCAAAGCTGGTGGAGACATACCCTAAAAGACTTGCAGCTGTAATTGCAGCAAAAGGTGGCTCCACAAAGTATTGACTCAGGGGGGCTGAATAATTTTGCACATCGCACTTTTCAGTTTTTTATTTGTAAAAAATGTTTTGATTCATGTAAAATTTTGCTTCCACTTCACAATTGTATACCACTTTGTGTTGGTCTTTCACATTAAATTCCAGTGAAATATATTTATGTTTGTGGTTGTAATGTGACAAAATATGGAAAAGTTCAAGGGGTATGAATACTTTTGCAAACCACTGTAAATTTGTTTCAAAATTCATCACTGTGGATCAGATTTAGGGACTGATCCATGAACATTTTTACCCATACTTTCTAGCAAACCTATCTTGTGCAGTTTATCAAGCAAAGGCAAAAATGTTTTAACATTGAACTCGCTTTAGGAACTACATTGCTGACAACTATTTATATGGTAATAAAATTGATTCAACCGCAGGATAATATTTCTGCTGCTCACCTGCCGTTAAGCTGAATCCGATCAGCCAGTTTGGAGAGTTGGTCGGGCAGACGACGCTGTTTTATCACTCCCTCTGGGCTCACGGACACCTCACATAGAGAGTAGGTTTCAGGCGCTGCAAAGAGGCCGAACTCATTGACAGTCTGGATGACAACATCCTTGGCCGTAGTGTCCTTGCTGATGATGATGTAGCAGCTCTGCTGGTCTGCTTTGAAGACCCGAATAACCTGGTCTGGGATATCTTCAGTGGGGAAAGGGAGAACAAAACAGTAAGTGATTAGTGAATAGTGAAAAAGCATATCGTTTGAAAGTAATTTCATACAGTACAGCATTCTTGATATTTAGAATTAGATCAAATAAAAACTTGAAAAAAACAAAGAAACTGTGGTAAATGCATTTATGAAGGTCAAAGGAGACATCAGGCTTCATTGTTTTCCACATTTAAATCATTCAGCTGGGGTCTATATAAAGTGGAACTGCAATGCTTTGCTCTCAAATCCTGCTTATTGTAACTCCACAAGCCCCTCCTTCCCCCCATTCTCTGAGGTGTCTCAGATCAATACAGTTTGAGGTTGTCTCTTTACATCCAAAGGAGGCGTTAACCCCCCCAGACCAGTCCATTCCATTTCTATAGAGCATTTTATGTCTATATAGTGGTGTAGAAATGTTTTATTTAAAAGTTAATTAAACAATGTCTACAACAGAAGACTTGTCCATCCAGCCTTACATGTTGGACCCAGAGTCTAACCCAGAACCAGAGGAGAATGAAGACCACCAAGCTGTAGTTGGTAAGTCCAGATCTTATTTGGCAGTTCCATCACAAATAATTTGATGTGTTATGTTCAGAAAACATAATAGAAAATAGAGAAAACTGAATGAGTTGAAAAATATGACCCGAACAGAATATAACGATATCTATGAGGCACCAGGAGTGACTAAATTCAACTTTTCTGCACTCCTAGAGACTCCAAGTACACAACAAAATGTATTTGACAGCTAAAAAGTGGATTTTGAATTATAATTATATTTAAAGAAAAAAACTATGTAAGCAGCACAGTGCAAATGTTTGTTTAAATGTCTTTAGTAGTGATTAAATACATTCAACTCAAGCTGCCTTTCTGCACATTAGTCCTAATTAACACTGATCTGCATTCCCGTCACCTTCCTTTTACAGACAGAATAAGGAGATCTTTCATCAAGTGTATAGCCTCAGCTCCAACTCAGAGTTTCAGATATAAGATTTTTAATACCATGAATTTAAACCAAAATTGTTATTTACCTAACTAAGGATAYTTCCAAATTAAAGGGCTCCAAGTTTGGAACAATGCCATATCATTTCTAAAAACTCAGTTTTTTAAAACATAGGTAATGTAGCATATTACTGTTTAATAAATAAATAAATAAATAACTAAATAAATAAATAAATAAAACTTGAACGTGAAACTTGATTACAGTTTCATAAAGCCGATGATGCTGGAGCAGCTATTTGCAGATTTCATGGCAGAATGCGTTTTAAATAATGGAGACATTTTCTGTGAGTGAAACGCCACATTAAAGATCTCTGTGTTTGAGTACGGCCGGGCGTACGGCCCATTAGCCACAGGCAGCCATAGAGATTTAATCGAACGAGTTATGAGAGCCACACAGAGAGAAGCAGAGAGACAGTCAGAAAACCAGATGAAGCTGCTACAGTGTGTGTATGTGTTTAGATTACAATACCTATATTACAATCACTACCCTAGCAGCAGCATAGTAAGTAGAAACAAAGTGCTCAAAGCAAAACCAATAACAATAGTGTTACAGTAAATGCTGGTAATCAATCACTGTGCTTATTGAAGGAGCTGCATCAGAGTACAAACAAGAATCACATTTGTTCATGCGATGCTGTGATGAAGTGCATGTAAGTGGTGGAGCTCATTATGCTGCTATTTTCAGTTTTTTAATGTTTCTTATAAGAAACTATTTTTCATGAAAATAGGGGTTTCCCAGTTGCTATATTTACACGTTTTTTTTTTGTATTGGGTAACTTTTTTGATTCCTTTCGCTTTACCAAGAAAATACTTTGAATTATCTTTGCTTCATCTTGAATGGCCGCAGTTTTTTTTTTTTTTGTAATTTACAGTAAAGTTATTTATGCTCTTTAGTTGAGAAACTGCAGAACTGAAATGCAACTAATCACTTTTGAAAGCCACTTTGCTTCTAGAATGAAGACATATTCATGTTTTGACATCARCTGCTTTTCTTGCAGATAAATGACTTCTTTATGGACTGTAAACTCATTAATATCTAACATGACATTTATGCTTTATGTAAATTAAATGCTAACTAAATTTCATGCTAAAGATGTATGCAGTTCTTCTTCTTCTTCTTGGTTGCTGCTGTGAAAGAAGTTCAGCTTCCATGTGCAGCTGGGTAGTGAGAGAAGGCTGGCTTAAAGCTAAATGTTTGAGTCTCATTAGCTGTGATTTGTGATTAGAGTGTGGGAAGCCTTCAGATAAAAAAAAGTTGGGTATCATATCCAGCAAAGGCTGGGGAAGGCTAATCATATTTAATTCTCTAGAGATGATGTGATCGGACCTGTGTGTACAAGTACAACCACTGTCCAGTTGCCATCTTTACTAAAGCATCATTCATTTCCTTCAAAACCCTTTAATTTTTTTAAAGACTGGAGTCCGTTTATACATAGAGAACAGGTTTTTTTAAATGAAATGTTTAAGAAACACAACATCTTCTTGCTTAAAAAGAAAGTAGCACTTAAAAAAATATTATGAGGCTTTGATAAAGTAAAGGCAGGAATTAATATCTTAGTTTTCATTCTACAGGTTTGGATTTGCATCTGTGTCTGTGATTACCAAACTTGAAAAATTCACCCCGAAGGTATGGGAATAATGGGTGGCACAATTCAAGCCTCCATACAGAACTTCGAAAGCAAAGGTAATGTAGAAAAATAATATGTACATTTTGGGACAATCAAACAGTGGTACTGAAGATAAATATACTTACAATACAGTCCCAAGGCTTGGCAAGCAGAGAAGGAAAGGGATAAAGAAGAACATTGTAATTACACATGGGAAAATGTTTGACGGGAGCATAAAGAGATTTAGAGGTTGGAAATAACATGACAAAAATAAAAAAAGAAGGAAAAAACAGCAGATTTTCTTCTGCAGCGGTAATCTACTGGTGGGAAACCAAAGAGCCAAAACTATGACTCAACATCTCAACACTAGAACATATGTTTAAAATCACTAAGCACAAAAAACGGGGGCAGAAAAACACTGAGCAGACAGAGAATGGAAGAAAAAGACTTCACACGCAGCAAATATGAAGCAAAGCATTCAGCAGTTGATAAAAAAACTCTTGTAGTCTTCAATCAAAGCAAMGCATTGTTAACGCTCATAAGATTTCAACAAAATCAGGTTTACCATTCTTAATTCTACAATGCCTTTTTTGCTTATGCTTCTTTTTCTCTCTGACCATTGTAAAATCATTAACATAAGTTGCTTAAAAAAGACAAATGTGCTGCTATAAAATTAACACCATCTGCAGTAAAATAAAACCTGGGATTTTCCACTGATGAATAATTACAGTAAACAAAGAGGTGGTCCTGAAAAAAGAACAACGCTGCAGATTATTAAACAGGCAAAGAATAGGCACCCAGAAGTTAAAGCCACACAGTATATGCTTATGTTATGTTATGTTATGTTATGCTTATATGCTTATTTGGCACAGTTTGGATAAAAGGGTTGTCTGCGCCTCAGATTTGTACCCTAATGTAATTACAGGCAGGGATTTGTTGGGGAGGTTATAAGCTTTGCAGAGCATCTGGAAAAAAAAAACGGTTTTGCTTTTCTTTACTTTACCTTGAAACCTAAAGGGAAGATGAAASAGTTTGTGTGTTTCTAGTGACCACATGAGATGTATAGGTTTACTTACATATTATAAACCTACAGACAGCAGGCGTGTGTGCTGGCATTTGTCTTACAGATAAATGCTTGTGGAATAAATCAAAACCAGTCAATAAATAGCACAGACTCTTCCTTGTTAGTTTAAATAATTAGGGCTCAGAAACTCCTCTGACAAGACAAGATTAAAAATATCCTCAAATGACCCAGGAGGTTAATTCTTGTCAAACTGAAGCAATTTGGCAATAGATCTGTGATACTTCAAAAACACAGAGCACAGAAATACAAATGTGGGTCTGGTTTTGTCTGTGAGCTGAGCAAGGCCAACAGCCTCTGCAGGTTTGCTTTGTATGAGTGAATAAGTTCCTTTTCACAAGAAAATGTTTTTTTAAGTATAGTTGTATGTCGAGGAGAAAAAAGAAAGAAARTGTGCCATACAGACTTATCACAGAGCTGCTTTTTGCTGTACCGCTCAAAGATGACAGCCTGTTTGCACAGCACCTTTGAGCACTCTCGGAGCATTGTGTTCCTTCAATTCCTAAATGGTTTCATCGTTCAGGGAGGCTGAGGTGTTGGGTCGAGTGTGACGAACAGCTGCAGATGAGAACTGCTCAGCTGTGACCGAGACACCTGAAAAGCTCTGTGATGGTCAGAGAGCTCACAAACAGACGGTGTAATGAAAGTTTGGCTTCATGTTGATTCAATCCTGTGCCCAAAGTGCAGGTTTTTCAAAGAGTCGCAAAAACTCGCACAAAAAAAGCGCAGGAAATGGCAGCAAAATGTTACTGATTGCTTCAGTTCTGTTTTGGTAAGATCTACAATAAAAGCAACTTTTGAGACAAGGCAGAAGTTAAATATTGATATAAAAATCCAGAGTCTGCTTTTTTTTATCCCTGTATCAGAAATCATTGAAACTCTTCCTGACAAGCAGATTCTTAGTCAGAACAAAATACCCCAGAACAGATAMTGACTGAGAGACGGTTAAGTTTAAATTTTATTAGTTCTCTTTGATGTTTTGTCCGTTTAAAGCTAAAGTTTCTTGTTTTTGAAATAATTCATCATAATAAGTCAAGTTGAAATAGTTTGTATTCACACCTAATCGTCTGGTTGACTTGGTATGATTGGGGACCAAAATTGTTAACACAAATACAATATTTGTTACATTTTCAGCTGGTGCGGTTCATATTCACACTGCAGTTTGTAAAAAAAAAAACAACAAAAAAAAAAACAACTGAACGACCAGTTAACCAACCCCCTGTAACTGTGTGTGCGGATCTGAACACATTCAGACAAATTGTGCAAGATAGGAAAAGCAAACCGCTCCTAATGCACCAATTTGTTTCACTATTGATTGTTTTCTGTGACATTTAGGACAATGGCATACATAAAAGAGATAATCAAGCCTAATTTAACCCTCCAAATCCATTTGGTCAAACAAATAGTTCCATAAAAGTTGCTTTCACAATCTGTTAATTATTTTATATTGGTGTTCAGTTTTACAAACTACCAGAAAAACTTTTACATGAATGTCAGTGCTTTGACTAATTAAGCAATCATTAAAGCTGCTGTATGTAGTTTCTTGAAAACCCAAAAACTTAGAAAAATTTTGAACAGAAACAACCTTGTAGTCCCTCCCCCCTGCTCTCAGCTCCCCTTCCTAAGCTCATCCCCCACAGCAGGGCCCAGAGTCGGGATGCTTGTAAACATGCTTGCTTGTAAACAGGAGGTGAGCCAACGTAACACACAGAGCTCAGAGCTAAGCTGCCGTCACAGTTAAGAACAAACCATCAACAATATATTTTTTAACTATCATGACTTGCCCATACTTTATCTACACAAGTGCTCCTTTTGTCATRACGTTACATGTAAATTATGTTGCACTCTTTCTATAAGTTATAAACAGCTATCAAGCTAATACAACACCGAGGCTGCGCAGTGGTTATGAATTCCAGTCCTCGTGACCCACTATCCTGCATGTTTTAGCCGTTTCCCTGCTTTGGAACACATGATTTAAATGAATGAGTGATTGACAGGCTTCTGCAGAACTTAAAGACCTGCTGAAGAGCAGGGAAACAGCTAAAACATGCAGGATAGTGGGTCACCAAGACCGGAATTCAGAACCACTTTTCAGCAACATGACAAGCCTGTGTATTAGTATTTTTCAGCTCAAGCCTGTGTATTAGTATTTTTCAGCTCTTGCTTTGCAGTGTGATATTTTATTTTTATGCT